CCCCCCCCCCCCCCCCCCCCCGCCAAGTTTTGCACTTTGCTCTCAGGCCCAGTATTCCCCGCGGCTGACTCACTCTGCAGCATGGACACTGCATAGGACAAGATCCCGTCCAGAGGTCCCAGAGGGCCAAGTCATTAAGGACAATTGTTCAGCTGAGGACAGTGACTGCAGTCACCATTCAGTGTGAGAGAAAGGTCCTTTGGATTCACACTTCCCTTCTAAGCCCTCTCCAAATCCTTGTGATCTGACTCTACCAATGCTGGCAACTTCCGGGACCTTCCCCAATCATCTCCAGCAACCACTGCACACACCCGGCTATCCCGCCATCCAGACAGACTCTGTAAGGACTCCGGTCCTGAGTTTCAAGGACCACACAGCTAAACACCCATTTTGTTTTGTGGAGATGGAGTCTCCCACTGAAAACGAGTGCTCTCACATTTGCAATCCTCCTGCCTCAGCCTCTGAAGGGCTTCTGTTATGAGATCTAGTTTCCCTGACACCCTGATTCAGTCCTTGTCAGGAAGCTGTTGTATGGACCCACCACCAAGCCTCCTGAGCTTCCTACTCTGGCTGCCCTTCCGACAATGTCCTGCTTTGTTGAGGAGTTCCTAATATCTCGAGCTGCTACTTATGAAATACATGGTTCGAGTCCGAGGAACCCCAGGGCCCAGGCACTAAAGAGTCATGACTTCAGTGAAGGTCTGACTTGTTTCTTTCCTAACTAACTCTTTAGTTGAAAGGGACAATGGCTAAGTGTGGAAAGCAGAAACATCTTTCATGGGGACACAGTGAGAGTGTAGCAGGGGACACATTAGAGGTAAGGACAGCTCTAAGATCCGACTGTGTGTCTCCCTTTCTAAAGCCAATAATGTAAAGAGCTTCAAGTTGGAATGACTTGGTGGGCTATGGCCTTCACATGAGGGAACCCAGAGTGTGGGGACCTTCCAGACCAACACAGCAGTCATCAGGAAATTCCCTCTCTCAACAGAGGCCCAGATGGCTCGGTATCTTGAGGGCAGGGCTGCAGAAACCACAGCTCTGTCCCATTACCTTCCAGTACCCTGTGCTGGATCCTGGTCTGTGGCCCTGACTTCCTTCTTCTGTGTCCTGTGTCCCTCCATAACTGTGTTTCGGTCTCATGGGTCCCCGTGGGTCTCTGCCAGACCACAGTACTCCTGAACTCCAGCCCCTGGGATCAGGGCAATTGGCCAGCAAAAGAGAAGATGGCTTAAGGGAACTCCCTGGCTATTTTCAAATCCCCTTCAGCTTTCTTCCTGACCACTGGCCAATGACCACAGCCCTCCTGGCTACACTTCTGGGAGAGCTCTGGCTCTTCTGGTCTCAGAGAATCCTAAGAGTGCATTACTTACTCAGGAGGCCGCGTGTCTGGCCCCAGGGACCTCTGCAAGGAGATGCGGTCACTGGCGAAGGCATTAAAGCAGTGTTTCTTATAGCCTTCATCCTTTTCTTGGGTCTCTAGATCGGTCCATTCTTTCTTCTGAAATGCTTTTCCATCTGCTCCAGGGCTGTTGGGATCTTGAGGTGGCCGGTCCCAGAAGGGTTTCAGCTCAGCAGGGGTATAGAACCCCGGTAGGCAAGAGGAGTGGTTTGTGGAGACCAGAGTCTGGGGGGGTTCCGGAGCCCTGATCTGCAGCTTGGGCATGACATCTCTAATGTTGTTCACAGCACCTAGCATGAGGTCCAGGACATGGTCCTTCTGGCCCGCTAGTGACTTTAGCCACGGTTTCTCCATGGCCTGCTCCTGGGTGCTTACATCCTTCTGTCGGATGAAGAGGAAGAGCATGAAGACGCTGCCCAGCATGGCTAGGCGCAGGGACATGTGGCGCCTTCGAAGGAGCCGCATCTTCCCAACTGGGACCCTGGCAGGGTCAGCTCCAAGTCTTATGCCTCACTTTGGAAGTAGCTTGATACGCCAGGGTAGCCACGCTTGGGGCTCAACCTGAGAAAAGAGGGGATACGAGAAAAATTAGCCATTGCTGAGATGGGCAGGGAGTTAGGGACTCGGGGCCCGAGTATGGCTCAGTGAAAAACTGTCCTTTTGCTGTAAACTGAGATAACCGGGTCTGGATCTCTCTTACCTGGAGGAAACTGCTTTGGGAAACAGCTTGCCATTAAAATAAAGTTCAGCTGGAACACGCTACTGGTCAACAACATGGCTCAGAGGGTAGGATCGAGACGGGAACTCCATGAGCCTCTGTGCTTTCTTCCGCAGGTTGTTATGGACTTTGAGACAGGGTTTTTGCTAATTAGCCCAGGCTGGCCTTCAACTCTCGAGCCTCAGCCTCCTGTGTACTGGGATGAGAGGCATGCACCACCATGTTTGGCTCACTCGGTGTGTCATATGAACTGGTTTGTGTGACCCTGGAGGCCTGGACAAGAACATCTGAAGCAGTGTTGACATAAAGGGCAGCTATCTGTAATCAGCTGTGAGACAGCCACACCAGGAAGCTTCTGCAACAGCAAAAGGAACCAACTGCCTAGCCACGAACCGCTGCCAGAACAGTGGGGTGAACGGGCAAGCTGCAGAGAGATGCGGTGTGCCGCCACTTGCCAAGTTATAAAATATGGCCATGTTAAAGATGATGTTTGTGAATTCAGTGTGTGGTGAAGCTATGAAGAGGCAGAGAATGAAGCCTGTTTCTGAAGACAAAAATGAATCAATTAGCCAGGCCAATGGACTCTCCTGCATTTACTCAGTTACAACACACACAGACACACACAGACACACACCAAATATACATATATACATACATATGCATACATACATATATACACACATACACATATATACTCAGATACACATAAATACATAAATATACACATATATACATATATACATAAATACACACATATACATGTACATATACACATATATACATACATTTAAATGCACAATACATATATACACATACACACATATACATATACACACATATATCGATATACACATATACATACATATACATATATACATACATGTACATACACACATACATATATACACAGATACACATAAATACATATATAAATATATGCATATGTATATATACATATACACATACACACATATACACATACATATACACATATATACATATATGTAAATACACACATACATATATACATATATTTAAATGTACACATACATATATACACACATATACATACATATATACATATATACACATATGTCATATATGGATACATATACATACATACACACATACATATATATGTTGTTTGTTTTTCAAGACAGGGTTTCTCCGTGTAGTCCTGGCTGTCCTAGAACTCGCTCTATAGACCAGGCTGGCCTTGAACTCAAAGAGACCTGCCTGCCTCTCCCTTCAGAGGCAATTATTTATTATTTGACAGGGTCACGATATAGCTCATAGTAGCTCACAGTGATTCTCCTGTCTCGGTTCTCACAAGATGAAATTATAAGCACATGCCACTAATTCCAGCTCAGATGATTTTTTAATTGTTGTTGTTTCAAATCTAAGATTCGATGACAACACCTTCCAGGTAGAACTAGGCAGAGGGGGGTGCATACCAGCTAGCATCCCAGTCCAGAAGGCTCAGAGGCAAGTACCCGTAGAGCTTTCTGTGGGAGCTAAGGTAGTATAAAGATCACTCACTAGCTGATAGATGCTGGTGTCCAGAGAAATGGCCACAGGCTCAGTTCCCCCTATTTAGAGGAGCACCTTCCGCTAGAGTTGGTACAGGATTGAGAGAGAAAACATTTCTCAGAAGCTTGTCGGTCTTATCTCTGTGCACAGTTGAGTTTTCAAAATCATTATCATCAGCCTCGTGTGACCCTTGGGTGACTTAGTTTATCCCTCTAAGCCTTGATTTCCTCATCTATAAATTGTGTCACTAACAGCCTGCTGGCTGTGTTGAGGATTAAGTTAGGTGAAGTATGCAAAACCCACAGCAGAGATCCTATCATCTTCTAAACCCTCGATACTTCTGCTGTTATAATTGATAAATCCCTGTGCACTTTCCCAGACATTACCCCCAGGTACGTGTTCCTTGGCCAGAGCCATGTCATTACGCCTTGGGTGTTTTTCTTAAAAGTGACTCTGGGCTGTAGTAGTAACCAGCCTGGTTACTGAGAGAGTAACCAATATCCTACCCTGATCCTGTATCTGCACTGAAGAAAAGACAAGTGCTGTTATTTAACACCACAGTGCCCTGCCTGAGTAAAGTCTGGTGTCGGGAGGTCCTTGCACATGGAGGGCAAACCCATGGTCAGGATAGACTCAATGGCCAGCAGTCTCAACCTGGGCTGGGGAGACAGATGGTTTCTTTCATAATAGTATCAAAAATCAAATGAAAGAAATTCTTGTTTTGAGGCTGGAGAAACGCTCAGCCGTTAGGAGCACTAATTGCTGGGTTTTGGGTTCAGTACCCAACACAAACATGGCAGCTGACAACCGTCTGTAACTGGATCCAGCACCCTCTTCTAGCCTCCAAGGGTACTGCATACACATTGGTACACGTTCATAGAAGCAACCAAAACACCCATACCCACAAAATAATAATTTTTTAAAAAATTTCTGTTTTGTATTAAGAACTGTGAGACATGTATTGATCCTACCAATACGTGTGGAAGACCTGCTGTGTGCCAGAGGCTCTGTACGACTAGGGAAAGGCAGGGATGGGGAAGGGCTCCCCTCAAAGAGGGCTCCATTAGTTGGGGAAGTGATAAGGGGGGAAGCTTTGGATGGAAGTAGGAGTCTGTAGAAATGGCCAACGGAGGAGAAAGACCAGAACATCACACTGGGAAAAGCTTGGGCTAGTCACCCAAGTTCAGATGAGCTTGTCTGGACAAGCCAAGCACATTTCAAACCGGTCAAGGGAGCGGGAGGCCAAAGGGAAGCAGGGGCAGCCTGCAGGTGGAGCTGGGCCCGGTACTGCCTTTACACCACCTGCCCTTGAGAAATGAGGAACAGCACAGGATTTTCTAGGAAGAAGAATACAACCTGGGAGCTGCTGAGGTGAGCAAGCACCTGCTGGGCACCTCGGCCATCAGGTAAGAGGGGCCTGGAAATCTGATCCCAGGAGCTGCCATATTGAAGGCAGAGGTGGTACCAGCAATATTTGTTTGGGTCTTAGGGTGGAACACAGGCACATGATAGGGTGTATGGCGCAACCCCTTTCCCCAAGGGATGTAAAACTCCTTAGAGAACAAGAAATGGGAGGTCCGGGGAAACAACCCAGCAGTTAACACCACTGGCTGCTCTGAGGACCCCGGTTCTATTCCTGGCACCCACATGACACGTCACACCGCCGTGTCTCCAGCTCTAGGAGATCTGATGCTGTGTTCCAGCCTTCACAGGTACCAGACGCCCAAGGGGTACACAGACATACATGCAGGCAAAACATTCACACACATAAAATTAAAAAAGATAAGAAAATGGTTCAGCAGTTCCAGTCCAGGGAGGAGTGAGCAGCAAACACTGTCTGGTACTCTGAACCTGTACCATCCCCCGTTTCAAGTTAATGGAAAGGCAACAGACAGCACAGACAGTTGAGAAAGGCAGGATTCCCTACAGATCTCATGAAGGCTTCAAGGGGATCAAGACTGTGTAGAGACTCTTTCCCAGGGACTGAGCTATGCTGGGGTCCAGAGGCTATGCTGTTCTACAAACCTCAGTCTAGAAACTGCAGGCAGAGCTCTACGGAATGGGGTAGGACTCTTGAGCCACCCTGTGGCCTATGCTTCACCCATCTTTCTGTTTACTTCCCATAAACGTGGGCACAACTAGAGACACAGGCTGGGTAATACTGCCCAGAGGCAGGCCAGGACTTACCTCCTCCAGGAAGGCCTCCTGGAGTCACCTGTCACTTCAGCACCCTCATCCAGGCACTGCCTGTGGGTTCCTTGCAGAGGCGGACACTTTTGTCTGTTTTATTTCCCCCGGAGCGAGAGACCTTGAGTTAAACTGAAGCGTTCTTGAGCATCTGCCTGCTCTCTGGATCCAATCTGGCTGTCTAAAGTGTTCTCTCTGGAACCTGCAGTTCCTCAAGGTTCTAACCACATCCTGAAATGAAACGAGACACCTGTGATTAGACTTGGCAGGAAGGGACTTGCTCTCTACAGTGTCGGCTCAGCATGACGGCAACAGGAAGACACCCCTCAAGAAACACAGTTTCACGCGTACCGTAGGGCTCTGGGGCTGCTCCGTGTGGAATGCAATGGCTAGAATCGTGGTTAGCAAGGACCAGGACCAGGAGGGTGAGCACCACCAGCCTTGGAAAAGGAATAACCTCTAATGTAGAACTTGGTTAAGTTCAGGGCTCGGTGGGAGCGACCTACCAAGTCCTGCGCATGCGCATGGCCCTACTGTTCCGGCCTGTACAGCCTGGCCTTCAGGACCACAGCGGGTGTGTTCACAGCCCTCCCTTCTGTGAGCGAGCGTCCATCCCCACCTCTTTTTCCTTCCTTGGGTCTGTCACTCATCAGCCTGTCAGAGCCAAAGATGCCCCAACCCTAGTTGAGAAAGCTTTCCCAAACAGAACAAACAGAACGGGCAGACCCACCCTTTCTCGCTCGCTGCTCCGGCGAGCAGAGCCCAGGGTCTACCCAAATCCCAATTCCAACCCGTCACTGTAAAATAGCCCCAGAGTGTGGGAACCTTCATGAGAAGTCTTTAAATGGCTAGATTACGGAGGTAGGAAGGCTGGAGAGATGGTACAGCAGCTAAGCGCACGGGGCTGTTCTTGCAGAAGACATAGGCTGTGTTCCCAGCACCCACATGGTGGCTCACGACTGCTCAGAACTCCAGTTCCAGGGGATCCAACATTCTCTTCTGGTCTTCAAGGGCACCAGACATACATGTAGTGCATAGACATACATGCAGGCAAAACAGTCATATGCATAAAAGCTAGACCTAAAAAAAGGCCAGAATACGAAGAGACAGTTGTGGTGATGCATGTCTTTAATCCCAGCACTGACGAGACAAAGCCAGGTGGATATGTAAGAACAGGACCATCCTGGTCTAAATAGTGAGCTCCAAGCCTGGGCCATACATAGCTCAGTGCTAGAGCACTTGCCCAGTGTGGGCCATCTTTAGCTCTATAAAGACAAACAACAAACCCAAAACTACACTGCGTTCCTTTATTAAATTTTCCTCTTGGTTATTTCCTATGGGAACAGCATGTGCTAAAGTCTCAAGGCAGCTCTTAGCTTTAATAACCTGAGAGGTATAGATGCTACAGATTTAACAAGGGTGTTTGGGAAACTTTATTTTTGCCTTTTAGTTTATAAATTCTGAATAATCAGTTTTCAATATTATTTCATCCTATTGAAGATGACAAATGTTACTTGATAAAATTAGAACACGGCCTAGGTATGTAGCTCAGTGGGTCAAGGGCTTGCCAAGCATTCATGAGACCATTGGCTCTGTTCCCAGCACTGCATAAATTGGGTACAGTGACCCTTGTAACCTCAGTACTCAGGAGGTGGCAACAGGGACCTCAAGTTCAGGTGTATTGGCTATACAGAGTTTGTAACTAGCCTGGGCTACATGAAGACCCTCAGAATTTATCTCTTTCTTCCTCTTCCTCCTCCTCCTCCTCCTTCTTCTTTTTTTGAGACAGGGTTTCTCTGTGTAGCCCTGGCTGTCCTGGAACTCACTCTGTAGACCAGGCTGGCCTCGAACTCAGAAATTCGCCTGCCTCTGACTCCCAAGTGCTGGGATTAAAGGCGTGCGCCACCACTGCCCGGCCAGAATTTATATTTCTAAACGAAGGTTAACTGAAGTTTAAATGATCACATGTCTGGTACTTCTTGTTACTTCACGTGCTTTAACCTTCTGATGTCGTTATAAGTATGAAACCACCACGGGACTTTTAAATGGTCCACACGTACATCAGCTCTGAGTCTAGAGACATGCCTTGCTCTGAGGAGCTAACCCAGGGCTTCGTACATGCTAGGCAAGGGCTTTTCACCAGGAAGCCACACCTCCAAGTCTGGCCTCCTGTCTCTGCTTGTTCTTCATTCTCATCTCAGCCTGCCTGTGTCAACGTGTCTCTCTTCGCTGCCAGGGACCTGGACTCCTGGACTCCAAAGGCCAGGCTATATCTCCCGTTCTATCACTGGCTAGGTCTGAAGTACCGGTTGTGTGTAGTCGGTGACTGAGCCTCTTATCAGTGGAACAGGCTAGAGGGGTTAAACATTCAACACTGGCTTTGTAATGATGCTGGGTGCACTTCCTGCAAGGATTTGGGTTAGGTGGCGTTCTGCTGTTACTCTTAGCTTGCTGCCCAACTCCTATCCGGGTATCCAGTGGCCTGTTTTGTGGGTATGGCTTTAGTTGGATGACCTCACTGGTGACACATAGCTAGTAGCTCCCAGAAGCAGGTTCTGTCTTCAGTTCTCAGATCATTGTTATGTCTCTGGGACTCTTACATCTCCCATGGAGGTATAGAGGGACTGCGTTCTTCTGAGCCCCCCATCCACTCTGAACCCCCTCCCTGCCATCCCCTTCTCTCCAATCCCACATGCTTAAAGATGCTGAATCTGGGAAGAACCGAGTGAGGTCCCGTCTCAAGTGAAGGGAGGGTCAGCCACCCTGAACACACCCTTGCTGGCCAGGTGGCCTCTTTGTAAGTTTCTTCCTGTTTATCAAATGAACTGCACACCTCAGGGAGAGCCTAGAGACGTGGCCTCCGGGAAGGAAGCTGCCACCGTGGCATCCATACAGGATATTTGCTCAAGATAATTGGCTCCATTACAGATCTCTTCAATAGCTATGGGTGGAGGCCCTCTGACCAAGTGTATGGTGGAGAGGGAACAGGCTGGTTGCAAGATCCAGGATGGGAAGGGTACTGCAAGACTGTCTGGCTAAATGTCTGTCCCCCTCCTCCTCCTCTCCCTTTTTTTCCTCCTCCTCCTCCTCTTCCTCACCCTCTCTTTCCTCTTCCTCCTCTCCTCTTCATCTTCTTCCTCTTCCCCTCCTCTCCTCCTCCTCATCCTCTTCCTTCTTTCTCTTCTTCCTCTTCATCCTTTCTTCTCTTCCTTCTTCCCCTCCTCTTCCTTCCCTTCTTCTTCCTCTTCCCCTCCTCTTCTCCCTCTTCTTCCTCTTCCCCTCCTCATCCTCTTCCTCCTCTTCCTTCTTCCCCTCCTCTTCCTTCCCCTCTTTTTCCTCTTCACCTCCTCTTCCTCCTCCTCTTCCACCTCCTCCTCTTCTTCCTCCTCTTCCCCCTCTTCCTTTTCTTCCTCCTCCTTCAATGATTTTCTTGTCATCAGGCCCACCAGCCTGACCTTTCCTGTAGTCAAAATACCAAAAGACCACAGAATAATCTCCAAATCTCCCTGCCCCTGGGATGCCTGTGTGACCACAGGATGGTGGGAGGCTCACACTCCCTGACCAGTGACTTACACTTTCATGGACCAGCTCTACAGTAATGTGGCTTATTCTCCAGAAAAATGAGATAAAGTTATTTCAGTAGCCAGTCTGTCAAAATGCCCTCACCGCCAGCACACCTAGGTTCATTTTAAGTTTACGGAAAATGTCGAACTGCAGTTATCCAAATATTTTCTACTGAAAACCCAACAGGATTTCCTCACTGCTGTGTAACTGGATCCGCATTTGGTATGCAAAGGCGTTTCTTACTTCTTTGTTGTCTTATCCCCAAGCAAAAGTCCCTAAAAATCAAGATGACAGGCAGCTAGAGAGGAGGTTTGTCTGCAGGGACCCTGCTAGGTCAGGTACCTGTACTTTTGTTTAGGCCCAGGACTCCAGGGAGGGCCTCTGTAACCTCCCAGGACTTGAAGAAAGGTACAAAGGGAATCTGAACTGAGTTTTGTCATCCACTGGCTGGCGGGGGTAGGGACGAGACAAGCTGGGGGTCATGGGTCAGATGGTCCTAATGGCTGGGGCTATCTCCAGAGGATGGGGGACTGAGCTTGGGCACCTAGGATGGCTGGGAACGTCCCCCTCCATAGCCCTCAGGCCTACACACTGCCAGCCAAGCCTACTAATCTGAGCAGTTGCCTACGGCTTCCAGTAATACTGGAATCCACCAAGTGCCGCTAATTCCCGATCCACTCCAACATCTGTTATGTTCAATCCCTTCTCAGTATCAAGGTTAGCAAGCCCACTTCCATGCCCTGCTGATTATGCCTTGCCTCCTGGGTTGGTGGTGTCGTGTGTGTCTGTGTGTGAGTGTCTGTATCTGTGTATCTCTGTCTGTGTGTGTCTATATGTGTGTGTCTGTGTACCTATGGATCTGTGTGTGTCATCTGTGTGTGGTGTCTGTGTGTTTCTGTATCTCTGTGTGTGTCTGTGTGTATCTGGGTCTCTGTGTGTATATGTTTATGGTGTGTGTCTGTGTGTCTATATCTGGGTGTCTGTGTCTCTGTGTGTGTCTATGTGTCTATATATGGGTGTCTGTGTCTCTGTGTGTGTCTATATCTGGGTGTCTGTACCTGTGTGTGTGTCTATGTGTGCATATCTGTGTGTCTATGTCTGTGTGTGTATGTCTATGGTGTCTGTGTGTGGTGTCTTTGTGTGTGCCTGTGTGTCTGTCTCTGTGTGTCTATGTATCTGTGTGTATGTCTATGTGT